CGGCCGGCGACGGTGCTGCCGCCCGCGCGCTTTCCCCGCCAGGGCGGCCAGGTCTCCGCGTGCAATCCCGCATACCGTCGCGCATCGTGCCGAAGCGCGAGGCGGCGCTGTCCGCGTCGGCGATGACAGTGAATGTCGAGTTCAGCGGGACGGCCGTGGGTCGGTCCGTCACGAGCACGTACTCAGCACATCCGGCGCGCGAGAACAGCATCAGCATCCTCGCAATGCAAGGCGCGCTCACGCAGCCCGTTTCGGCGCAGAACGCGTCGAGGAGCCTCATGGACATCTTTGCTGGGGCGCCGCGCACGGAGGAGGGCGTCGACCCGTGGATCGTTGTCTCCCGTCCGCAGCGTGGGGCCACGGTTCCCGGTATCGACGGGGCCAATGGGGGTGCGACCATCGGTCGCGCGGGGCTACGTCGCATGAGTAGTCAGCTGTCGCGCACGGTTGATGCCGTCATCGATTCGCCGCCGCGAAGGGGTGAGCACGGAGAGGAGGAGGATGTCGTCGGCACCTTGCTCGAACGCACGCTCTCGCGCCGGGGACTATCTGACTCGTCGATCCACACGACATTCTTGAGCCACGGGGAGGAGCATGGGCAGCGGCCTGCTGCTGTGCAGGAGGAGCCTACCAGCCGACACGATCGTGACTCGGTGTTGCAGGCGTTGAGCAGGAAGATGCAGAGCTTCCGCTTCGCGGGATCTGTCCCGAATACTGCGTCCAATGCTGATGCTGGCTCGTCAATATCGAGACCTAGCACACCTTCGTCTCCGTCAGTAACGGCTGGTGCGGGAGACGGAAGACAGACGCCGACGGGCGTGAGGCCGGTGCCGTCGCAAGCGCGGGCGGTGTCGCCTGCGTCGCGATTGTTCTCTCCTGTGAATCTTTCTTCATGGGCGGCGGCTGCTCTGGATCCCAAGCAAGAATTCTTGTCTGCAAGTCCGCGTGAGGACGCCTTTATGCATCGTGCTTGGACTCGAGAGACAGAGATGTGATCTATTATCTGAAGATGGCTGTATCATCTACTATGCTACCACACACTTAGTTCAGAGTCACTGGGTGACGAGTATTTATGTACGGTAGAGTAGATGCCGGTTTCGAGGTCTATACCCCGGGTCGCCCGTGTACATTCTAGTTGCTTCAAAACCATTCTATGCTAACTGTCTCTCAGACCGGATTGTTTATTTGACAGGTAATCAATTAATGATAGGACTAATGTCACCGCCATGCCATGAGCGTGAAGAGCACAACTCGCGAGAAACCTCTTAGCCAATTCATTCTCCATACACGATTGAACTTCAATGCACCGATGTCCTGAGCACCATAAAATCTTTGGTTCACCACAGCAGGTCCATAGATGACAGGGCAAGATATTGCTGCTAGGGATGCCAGCTACTTTATGAGCAATGGTCCCTGTATAACTTTTCTCTGATACCTCAACACCACCCGTAAATCTGAATAAATCAATAAAGGATTTTATGCAATGAGTTCTTAGGCCCATGTCTAGTCAGGATGTCAAAGTTTCATGAGTGGCAAGTGAGATAAGCATACAGATAGTGAACATCATCAATCCACTGGTACATTTCAAACACAGGTGCTTAAAGCATCTGAATTGATTGGCCTAGTCCACACAACGCTCAAGTACTCGGCAGTACTTTCTTAAGCCACGCCTTCAAGTCTCGCAATTCCTCATTGGACGCCGAGTGCGGAAGGTCTTCATACGAATTAAACATAAGTCCGCCCTTCTCCGGTGACTCTAGATCCGCCGTAGGGATATTAAGCTGTAGCTTGAGAATCTCGACTGAGCGGATCGCCGTATCAAATTTGACAAGCGGGTCGTCTTTTCCATGGCCCCAGAATATCGGGGTTGTGATATTACTCGGTGTGGCCATCTAATGTGCAAAGTCGGCGTGCTTCAGCGATGTCTAAGACAAACTACTTACTGATGTAATTTTTCCCTGGAGTGGCAGCCGTCCACTTAAGACCACCACTCCGCTCAATTTCTTGTCTGACGTCAGAGCCGTCAAGAGACTCATCACGCCTCCCTGGCTGAATCCGCCGAGGACGATGCGATGAGCGGGAATACCCACAGCAATTTCGGAGTCGAGGAAAGCATTCAAGGAGGCGGCGGATTTGTGCATACCCGCTTCGTCCTCCCGAGAATATCCGTCAAAGTCGAATATGTCGTACCTGTGAGTAGCAGATGCACTAAATGTGATGTATACCGGGTGATAGGCAGCGTCGTGGACGCACCATGAAGGCATCTCCATCCCCCCGTTCGCAGTCACGGCCATTGTCGGACTACGGAGGTGCAGCCATCAGCGAAGGCTGCAGGGAGCACCACCTACCACGGCGGAAAGGACCACTTACGCATGAGGAAGAATCCATTTAATATGGCTCAGGGCCGAGTCAGCGCTGAGCATATCGGCGACTGGTTTCCACCCGTGGCCAGTGTCACCTAGTCCCTACACGAAGGGTAAGCGAACATGCAACTGTGCACTGGGACTTGAGGCAGCTTGCATGAACGAAAACAACAGTGGCGGAATGCTTTGTCCGGGGATTGACAGTCAAGAATTTCAACGACTGTACTGCGACTGCCATTCTTCCCTCGGGTGGCGATAGCTTCCACGTAAATCCGTCGCTGTAGACACGCCCGCAGAGGTAGAGAGGAAAGAGCGACGGAGGCCGTTGACTAGTGATTCAACTCAGATCTATATAGCATAATCTATATACCAGCAGCCCAGGCTCTACTCAGCGGAAGACGAATTCCGTAGCATCTAGCTTCCAGATTTGGTTCTTGTGTGGTGCATTCTCGACAGTCTGCTGAGAGGCAGAAGTAGTGCCGTCTACGTTGGGAGTAAGAGGCAGACTCGCAGCAGTCGTTGGAGCTGGTTCTAGCTAGAATGTTTATATAGGCTCAACCGAAGGCGGAGTTGCCAGCCTGTGATCATGAGTCCTTTAAGCCCTTTAAGCACAAGTTATTGGTCTTCGACGCGTTCAGGTACGAGACCAAGTTATTGCGGGCCTCGACGACCCACTAATCCATATCTCTAGACGACATCCGGAATATTAATTTTTGCAAGCTAGAAATAATCATGAGGGCATATGCAAAGCAAGCAGTGAACAGGGAGATTACGTCGATTACTATACTATGTGGCTTGCGTGGTACTCCATAAATACATACAGTAAAGATGCGTTAAGTTAGATGCCAAGTTGAAAGACAATGATGCACTCCATTCTATACCCAACATCATTCAATAATCTTCATCACAAGCTCCGAGATCCAGTTCATCATCTTCGTCGCATGGCCCCGATTTGGCGGCAGGAATTGGAAGTTGTTTGCCAGCCCTTTCATGCCTTGGTCTTCTAATGCATGAAGATGACTGCGTCCGGGGCCGTGCGATACTCCCTCATCAACGCTAAGTGTCGATGCCGATCCCCGCGCGGCCGCCAGTCGATCCGTATCTTGCGTGGCAATCCTAAATATGTTTGCGACAGCGTTCAAGATCACTGGACTCGAAGAGTTTCCAAATGCATCCTTAATCTTGTCCTGCAAGCTCTCGTATCTGTTGATGACATCAGCCACAAAACGCCGAACTACAATCAAAAGACATACGTGATGCAGATGATGTTTGGGAACGTATCCGCTATGTCTGCTAGTAGGGTGTATAAAATCTGCGACTCGAAGTCGTCGCTCTGTGCTGTCCCCAACATCGCGCCAACGAAGGAAGTGACGAAGAGTGCGCTAGTGTCATCGGCGAGTCCGAATAGAGCGAACGGCAGTCCGCGGATGGCATCGTCGTCGTCACCCTTCGAGAGAAAGTCTTGTTCGAACCAAGACTGATGTACGCCTATATCCTCCAATAGTCTCCGGAAGCTTTTCACAGTTGCCGAGAGGGGTAATAATGCCAGAAAATATCCTAGAATCTCCTGGCAGATGGGACCACCCGGTCCATCGTCGGCATGCTCTATCTCGCCACATGAGCGTACAGTGATCGATAGTAGACTCCTGAGTGCAGCCTCGGCGGGTTCTTGAAGGCTGGCATGTCTAAGACCCTTGAAAATAATAGAGGCGAGGGAAAAGGAAAAACTAGCCTCGAAAGAGATACCAAGAAGTTGATCCAATTGGCATGCCACATCTTCGAATGGCGAACGGCCCTCAAGCAATGTGGCGGCCACGCCGTTCTGTTGGAAAGCTCGTTGATTGTCCATAACCTCCAAGGTGACACGGAGCAAGTGGATGGCCTCAACATATAATCCCATATGGCTTGACTGAAGGAGAGCAACAGCAAGCCAGAAGAGTTGGCAGACATACCGCGAGCTCCGTGGCAGTGCGGGAATCACATTACGAATGCAACGGAGCATGCTGACCACAGAAGTGGTATCATTCTCGCTAGATTGTGATAAGGCAGTCTTGAATGCCACTAGCATCTGATAGAGCAAGTCGTCGTCGACGTCAGATGTTGCAAGAATGCCAAGGGCTACGAATGCGCGTGTTTGCACCGCAGGAGATAGCTGGAAAGCCGACGACGTTATCAAACTCATCCACCGGGCACGCCAAACATTCAATAGACCTGCATAGATTATTAGAGTATTGCAAAATCGACATGACGACCAGATACAAACCTTTTGTTCCAGCTATAGTCTCGAGAACTCGGCCAAGGAACTGCACAAGACTTTCCAGAGTATCAATGTATGACTTGTCGTTAGCAGGATCGACATTGATATATTCGCTTGTGGGAGTTGGTCGTGACAATCCGAACAAGCGTAGTGTATCCCGCTGCTCACATTCGCTCAAAAGCAGCTGGATTTCCGGGCTGGCAGTCGAATCGATGATGCGAGCTGTGTACAGGGTATTGAGGAGATTGACCACTAGACCGTATACGGATGTGCGGACGGAAGCTTGGCCTATTCCGGCTGTGAGAATGACAAGATGGACGGTCTCCGGTACGAACAATTGACTTTGGACAGCGTTCTTGCAGTGGTGCCCAGCAACTAAGGCCAGTCGCAAAAGACATGAGACTTCGTTCCAGTGAACATTATCTGCCAGACTCTTCGTTGGTTTCGTCGACGTTTTGCCAATGACCTACGTGAGGTGAAACCAACTTTCCCGTAAATAACGTGCAATCAAAACTTACCTTGCGCAATCTCGACAATATTCTTCCGCGCACATTAATTGAGGAGATAGCACCCATTGTATCGGCGACCCTTTCACATCTCAGAGAGCCCTCCCCTCCATCGACAGCTGCGCGCATCAATTCATCTAACACTGCGTTGACCACATTGCTATCAAGCTTTCCAACTTCAGCCCAAATGTACTTTTGGGTCAGGAAATGAAGCTACGGGGCCATAATCGTGAGTAATGTGGCAACGCATAAATTACACCAGTTTACCTCATCATCGGACATGGTTAGATCCACGAGTACCCGTACACAATCTCGGAACTTTGAAGCAGAAGGCTCGTAATATTTGCTCGCAGGATTGGCGAAGCAGGCGAGATTTTTCACCCAGGGCGCCAAATAATGTAAGCTCATGATTCTGTCCGGAACAGACTCTTTACTCATGACTTGTGACACCTCGGTAATAAAATCCAGTGTGAGGTGGGGAGCAAAGTTTGCTAACGATTCGCTAAGTAACACCAGGAGGGGACCCGGAAAACCATTGACTAGGCTAGCTGTAGAAATTTTCGTGACTGACATTGAAACGACAAGACTGGCGAACGTACTTTTTGAAGTGATGATAGGCTTTCCTTCGAAGTCGAGATAGGTACAAACAGCTTGCAACAGCTCGTTACCAGCGATCCTGACCTCTTCATCTGTGGAGTTGATACCGATCATTCCCACATGCAGTAACGTTGCGACAACATTCGAAAACCTAGACAGTCGCTCCGTCCCAGGAAGCTGAATAGTTCGGAGACTGTTCTTAGCAGCCCTGATGGCCTGAAAAAAGCAGTTGGATGATGTGACAAAGGATGAGGAATGACCGATTACCTTTACAATCGCATCTCGAGCTGTGGATGAGAAATACATCGTCACACCCTGTCGTATCTTTCGAATGATAAATTCATTGTTGTCGTGGCCGGTTGAAACATTGTAGACATCATTGACTTCCGACAAAGGTACAATCTCTGTAGCCTTGCAAGTTAATGAACCACCTATTGTTTGAGCTTTCATCTGCTGGATGTAAGTATACACGGCGAGGATCGGACTAATTGACGCACAGTCGTAATGCGTAGGTGACTTTGGGCAATCTCCAAAGAAACAGGTACTCGCATTGGATGGGCATGCCGCATTGTCACATCTCCGAAGTGCATTCGTTGCTCTTCTTCCATCTGAACTGGAGTAATGGTGCTTATTAGATCGGCACCATGGAGTTTAGGCGATGTGAGTACATACTTGCGTAGTCCAACGAAGGCAGACGTATTCCCTCAGGTAAACAGCGCAGTAACTCATCGACTGAGGCATAGGTCTTGTAATCGGCCGCCAGATGAATTCCTAGATTCCTGCTCAGTATCACACCAACCAGAGGTAGCTTTGTTATGTACCTGTAGATAAATTATATAGTCTCCGCATATATCTCAGGGCCAGCGCGTTGGGTGTCACCAGGTGAGCTGTTCGGATTCGTCCGCGAATATCAGAAGGTATGACCTCAAAGGTAAACTTGAGCCATTGCATCGGTAATTGGGATGACACGATGAAAGACGTGAGATCAAGAATAATGTCAAACTGATGACTCTCGTTGGAAGGAGAAGTGAGAACCTGTTTGAAAGTTGATGAGAAACCTTGCTGAGTGATTACTAGAGCATGCCTACTTTGAACATGTAATATAGAAGCAGCTCAATATCCAGCACTTCTACGTCAACTCGAGAGACAGAGAGCACAAATATGGCCCGCTCCTGCGTTCAAAATCAGCATACACCAGAAGCACTATACAATGTACTCACTTGAGGTGTTGGACACAAAGCTTCTACAAAAAGCCCCTGCACGGGAGTGGTGTCTCTGTGTTTGAATCTTTCCATCAGATCGAGATACTCTCGGTGTTCTTGGCTAGACGCAGTCGTGATCCGAGCAGCTTCTAAAGGCTGGCCAAGCTCGACCAACGAGGCGCACAGAGCATCCCAAACGCGCTTGCCGTTGGCGACATGCGCCTCGGCCTGCGGTGTCAATTTTTCCACAGGTGGCTTCGAAACGGTCAGCAGTTCTTTGCCGATTTTATCAGCATACTTTTCGAAGAACCGATGGAGTACAATGGTGTCCGTGTCATCATATGTGGTGTTGAGCCATTCCTCTGGCTCGTCTTCTGGTCCCGAGGGAACGTATTTCTAGATCGCTGTTAAGTCGAGGTCATACAAAGGCAGTGATATAGCATACGTTCAACTCGCTCAAGAAACGAGTCACGTTTACGATGTTGGCTTTGAGAAAGTCATTGAGAGGGGTCATATGCGCCTCCTTGCCGAAAAAGATGTTATTAGCGAGGTTCTGAATGATCTTCGCCACTAGCATCAGACCCCGGCGAATTGTGATATCATCTTTGGGAACCTCTATGTCAATTGTCTCTGGTGCGACGATTGCAGGGGATATAAATCTGTTACAGTTCAAGTAAGTACTATATCGGTATGCTCCTTGAAACTTACCGCAAGAACATGAATGCACCAACGGCTGCGAATTTTGCTTCGGGCCAGACTTGGTTCCTAGTCTTCAATTAGATAACAAAGTAAATCGCTGATAATATTTAACTCACACAACTTTCGCAATGTGTGCACATATCTCACGGAGCATCCTAAAAATGACAGGTTGGGACTCTTAGCAGGCTCGATCTTTGAGAACAGGCTTACGGGGGCACCACTGGAACCGAAGAGAGTATTATCTCCAGGAAGGAAGACGTTATCAGCTGAATATTCGCCTGATTTCGCCGAGCAGCTTGTTCGCCGACTTTTGCGGGATCTAAATCATATCCATGACCGGCAGGCATGGAAGTCATGGTCTTGATAAGAGGGATGACCAGGCTTCGTAGATAATTATATCCATAAATGTTAGCGAATGCAGAGAGAAAACGGGTGCAGGTCGAGTTGCCACGGAACAATGCTGTGTCGTTTTCTTAAAATATCCATTCAGTCATGCAGGTCTGTTGGTACTAATGAAGAACACTCACCGGTCCGCCCTACTTCAATCTCGATCATATTCTTGAGCAATGTCATCAGCGATGACCTTGTATCAAACAAATTCAGCATGACGGATATCAGGTTATCGACTTCTGAGGCGGGACAAACTTCACACGCGGCTATAGCCAAGGACAGCTAAATTTACGTTTGTCACAAGCGTTGGATAAACAATCGAAAGAACTCACGTCTGGTCCTTTCACCAACTGCAGAAGAATGGAATTCAATATAGTGCGAGCGAGAAGCACATGGATGCCCATACCTCACAAAGTCGACTTTGACGTTGAACATTTGGCTGGGGCTCAACCGTGCTCAAAGCGATCCCTTGTGGAAGAACTCGTGCAAATACGTAAGCAAAAATAATTCGCTTGACCGGATCCTCTTCATAGGCCAGAGGCAGGCAGTTCTTCACGCCAACTTCTGGATTCGCACTGACAAGGGACACAAGGCCTGTAATCACTAGTTCTCTTGATTCACCGTCTCGCTGGAGCATTCGTAACTGGCTACTGGTGAGTTCACCAGTGAACACGACGCTCTAGTAAACTCACCCCGGGTATCGACAACTTATCGGCCGAGCTATCGTCTGGGAGCTAGAGTTGTTGTCAATAGGGGAGACGCACAGCTGAATTCTCGAACACGCACTGGAGGCTCACAGCGGATATGTTCCCAGGCCTTGAATAGGAAACTCGAGTAACGAACGAAAAGCCGCGATATGGCATGGGCAGCTTCTTCCCCACTCGCGCCATCAGGTACTTGGAGCTGAAGACGATCAAACAGCTTCACTGCGGCTCGGAATACAGCGTTATTGATATCTCGTTGAATAGATGCAATGTCACGTTCACACTGTAAGAAAATCAGAACAGTCTAGCCAGTTTTTGAGGGAATCCAAATCATACCGCTGAAACATCTTGTGTCCATTCAATAATAATGTCCGCAATTTTCTGCCTATCACTATTGTCTTTGCGCATGGTGATATTCTCTGCTTGATCAAATACACCCTCACAAAGGTTGCAAAACTTGAGTCTAAGCCTGTAAGATACAACATCATGATAACGTCCAATGAACCCAGCGATAACGGCCAGTGTGGAGCAGAGGTCGAAACTGCGGAGTTCTTCGAGACATTGGGAATTTTCAACGTATACTTTCAGAACAGAGAGGAACTAGATCTGACAGTCAGATAGAAAGAGGAATAATCACATGATTTGCAATCACCTGGTCGACAAAAATGGCGAGATTGTCCCAATCAATACTATTTCCTTCAGCGAGTTGACGTACGACGCTGTGAACAAATGATTAAAAAGGCAACAAATTGAGTATAGAAAACTGACTTGTCTAGCGACTTGAAGATTTTCGTGTACAGTCGGGGACTCGCCTCATTGCCAAGCGCGTCCTTCGCCGTATCTCGAACATTGATAGAATCAGCAAGCAAAAGGTCGATGAGCTCGTGCAGAAATGACGACATGAGCTCTGTGGGATTTCTTAGGACCCGCATCTGATCTGCAAGGTAGTATGGAGCAATATTCAACTTCAGCGTCGATAAATCTTCTGATTCTCTGACGCAAGCTGATCCAAATGATGCAAGGAAAAGTGTGAGGTTTTGCCATTGTGCTTGTCGCTCCTGCGGGTTACATGAGTCTCCTATACACAGCTGCATTAACCACAACCATACCTCAGCAGACATGACTTTATCCCCTACTGGTGCTGAACCAGTATCGAACCCATCGGCGGTTGTAGGAATGGACATTCGGACAGTTAGCTCGTTCATCATGCACCAACGGAAATAGCATTCTTCCCATACTGCAACATGGACCGGCGAAGAAGACGGCATCAAGCGTAAAAGCTTGCGAACACGTTTTTGGTGACCCACTCTGCCTGAGAGCTGATGAGTTACGCACTCGCTTCGACTTGAAAAAACAACCCGTACCAATGACCATAACCTTAGGATCACCAAGTTGTTCATAAACAGGGTAACGTTTAACTCGCTCGTCGTCACTAATCTCGCTTGCAACAGGCGCATCAGGCGCTGTTTCAGCTTGTGCGAGGAGGCGAAGACAGTGGGCAGCGGTTAGCGTGACACTAGTGTCGGCAGATGTTAGAGAAACAAGAAATGCAATCTCCGCAATGGCGAATGCTGGCAGACGTTCTTTGGCTAAATGAATTTTCTTTGTTTGCTCCTACCTCATCAGTTAGCAAAAATAAGGTATCAACGAGATACGAACATATACGTACTGTGTTTGCGGGTTGAGTGTAACGATAGAGGATCTCATATGCCATATTGATCCACACACGTTGAGCCTGTAAGTCAGTTCGTGCATCGAGCAGGTTTGTGCAGAACGTCGCAAGCGTTGCCGGGCTATTTTGTTTTTGAGCGATGACCCACAAAGATTAATGTCATGATACACACGTTACATGAACTGCCCAATTGCTGCATGCATCATAAAAAGTATGGGCAGTGCTCATCTTTACCACAGTATCAATCATGTTGCGTAACGTTCGAGCCATGGCCATTTTAATGGCAAGATCAAGTGGAGCATGCCAGCATGCGACAGCAATTGGAACGTATTCTGGGATTTGAGCATTGTCCATAGTGGATAAAAACCATAGTGGATCAACGCGAAACAGCGCCATCAAGGAGTATGCTAGTAATTCGCGGTCTGGCAGCGTTTCAGCAGTGTATCGTTTTGCCTTGGGCCGTGCATTGGGTCGTTTCATGTTCCCTTGTTCGTCTAACTCACTTCGACGCATTGTAGAGCTCTGTCAAGTAGCGATGTTTCTCAGACAATAATTTAATTCAAAACGAGATCCTACTTGCCTGATAGATGCGCAAAATTCGAAGCATGAGTGTTGACCTTAGATCTTCCAGAGGTCGTTGCCACGGGCATCTAGGAGACTGAGAGTAAGGTGTCAAAACGAGCAGCTTCGTCAGGGCCAACATAACGCCTACTTCTTCAATGAGTGTAATGCAGGCCTTGGCGACAGTGATTTTGACCGCAGGAGACCGCTCTGGATCGACACAGAGACCGAAGAGGGGGAGCGATTCTTCTGGTGGGAGATATCGATAGATAGTCACCAGGACATCAGCAACCAGCGCGACATCTATCTCATCGCACTCCCAGAAAGGTTTCTGATTATTCCAATTCCATAGGAGGCGCTGAAGGGTAAGCCACGCTTAGCCAAGCAAGTATATGGGCAGCACGGCGACAATACCTTGAGCTCGTGTGCAATATCATGTGCAAGAAGGTGCAATGGATGCTCTGCGCCATCCTCCAGATGAACGCGAAATGCCGCTCGACATACATCCAATGCACAAATCAAGGCTTCTTCAGAATACTTAGTCAGAGACGACAAACTTCGCATGATAAGCTCAAAGAACTGGCGATCCTATGAACGACCTTGTTAATGTGCAGTATTACGGGAGTGTGTGGCTTTACCCTGCGACCATGCTGACCCCTCGACATACCCATGGAATTCTCCTGGAAGTCAACCTTCATCCGTTCCGAGCTGATGCAAACAAGTGCGGTCAGCGTGGGCCAAAAGACAGTCTTCTGTGACCCCTCTTGCGAATCAAACAAAATATCAAAAACACGCTCTGGAGCACCCTCCATACGACGACTATACCGAATGTTGTCACCAAATTCATCCGGAAATAGATCAATCCAGTTCCAAATGGCAGCACGGAGAGGTATTGCTACTGCTGCCTGAGCATCCGTCTTCATATGTAGAAGTAGCGATGAGACTTCCTGTAGAGATTGGACGAGTCGGTTTCTGTCCAAGGCACTGTATATCATCAGCTGCAAGTCTATGATATCCGGATCGTCTTCAGTCGCACGAGAAAGTGAACGAATCTTGACTCGGATTTTGTCCAAGACGATATTCCAATTCGACGCCGATAAATGATATACGATACGCCCAGCGAACTTGGTGATGACCGCATTGAGCGATGCGATGGTCTTAGACGTCACGAAAGTCGTCTTCTCGTAGACGGCCGAATATTTCGATGATGTGCTGAAAGACGTAGTGCTCGCTGCAGCTGAGTTAAGCGATGTCATTGACGAATGCTTCGCCCGTGAGATCATTCTCTGGGTCGCAATGCTCAACGGCAATGCTGGTCCGCTAAGAATGTCTGATGGGTCGTTCTGTGCTTCTGGGGCGTCGATGGATTCGAAATCGTGATGCGATGCGGCAAAGTCGATATTGGCAGCAGACATCAGCCGGTGTTTGGG